ACCGACATTGACGATGGCAGACGGCGCCCTCATGGCCAGGGCCCTGGCGAGACCCCAGGCCGCACTGCAACGCGGCGGCCTGAACCACGCGTGCACTTCACCTCGCCGCCTCGGCGGCCCTGCGGTCCTGGGCGCAGCGCGGCCCTGGCCCGGCCCTGGGCTCCGCGGACAACGGCACCGCCATGGCACAGCGCGGCTTCGGCCTGGTCCTGTGCGCTCGCCTTTGCAGGACAGGACTCGCTCCACCTCCTGCTCCAGTACACCGGCGCCCTGTCGGTCGACGCAGGCGGCATGTTCCTGGCGTGTCCTGGCTACCGCGCCCAAGTCACTGCGGCTCCCGCACCCTGGACCCGTGACACCCTAAACGACCACGGCCCTAAGGCACTCGCTTTTCGCTACCTGTTCGATGGCACAACGTTGCACTTCGGCTCAGCGACGCTCTCCACTCTCCCTGATCCCTGACGCAGCTTGGGTGCAAGGCGCCTCGCCTCTCGCCGCCAACTCGAGGCTGGTGATGATGCCTCGCTCTGAGGCTGCGCCCTCCCCCTTTCCTCCCCGTCAATGTTTAATTCAAGTTTCGCGCGGTCCGCTTGGCTTCGACCGGAAGAGGTGCGCTCTCGACACGCGAATCAAACAAATGTACTTCACGAACAAAGTCGCGGAACGGTACATTGCCAGCGGGGTCCCAGTGGGGGCCCCCAGTGATTATTTCATCAAATCCTCTCTGCGTGCGCCCCGCTGCCAAACCAAGGCACACCCATGAAATTCTAAGGATGGTGACCTTGACATCGTGAACGTTCATATTGTATTTGATGGTGTCATGGTCGGTGTTTTCGGTGGCTGGCTTACCCATCGGGTTACGAATGGGTGCGTGGTCTGACGTAGCCGTCAGCCTGCGAATGGGTGTAGGGGTTAAGCTTGCATGTGGCGTGTGGCCACGCGGTGGAGGATGGAGGAATATAACAGTAAGTTACCAAGTGGTTGAAGAAAGTATTGGAACTGAAGTGGCTGATAGCCGGCGCAGTTGGGTATGCCACTGCACCGTGGAAAAATGTGGTGTGCGGAACACCTGTTGTGAGAAGCCAACCACATAAAGATGAGGCCAACTCCGCTACCAAGTGACAAGCAAGGGTCAGGAGGGTGTAAGCCGAGACCCTGCTTAGGATGACGTCGTAGACGTATCACGGTATCCCATAGCTTGTCCGTTCTTGATGGGCAGGACGAAAGAGAAGAGACAAGGCATGATACAGAGAGATGAGCCATCGGTGGATGTGGCCTTTATGCTTCATCCAACGCTCAGGCTCGATTGTGCCTCTCGGTCGAGAAATGGTCACATAGGATAGCGATACCTTGAGCCAAGTAGCGCTGGACATAGGCACGACGTTCGCTATACAAGCCCCCCGTCGACTTCCTTCAAAGTCCTCATCCTCCTCCGTCTGTCGCCGCAGCCCCTTCATTCCTGGGCATGGAATGAACGTGTCCAGAACGCGCCTTCCCCAGGTCTCCCGAGGCTTTCAAAAAACAGGACGCGGCACTCGGACTCGGGGACGTGCGCTGCAGCACTGCTCATCGCGCTCGCAGCGTGACGCCCGCGCGGCGCTGGTGGCTGAAGAAGATGAAGCCAGGACAGGGGCCAAATTGGAACGGGATTCGAAGATCTCTGAAAACCAGCGGTTCTGGAGGATGCGGCGCCGCGGCCATTCTGGAGCGGTCCGGAGCGCTCCGACAGCGCTCCCAAAACACTCTAGAAACATTGATCCCGGTCCTGGCCACGCCCGAAAGCTGTACAATGCCAGCGCTCCCCGCCACGCAGCCCCCTGATCTTTGCAAGACCGCCGGCTCTCGGCGCGCCAAAGGGAGGCCAGGAAGGGGGGCGTTAGCGCATCATGGCCCGATGCATGTGCGCGGATGGGTGGGAGGGGCCAGGGATCGCGTTGAAAGGAGGGGGGTCCATGAAATCCGGGAGATTTCATGGCCCCGACCATGACATCCACAGACGTACCCGGTACCCCAATCCTAGCCCCCCTCTCCGACGCCCCTGGCGAGACCGCACTCCTGGGCAGGTTGGGGCACCCAGGCTCGGATCGAACATGAATGGGCGATCGGGGATCAGTGCCTTTGGTTAAATCAGGCTGCTGGCTTCGCAAGGTTGTCACGCCCCTTTACGCCCCTGGCCAAATTATGCCACACCTGCCACCGTGTCATGCGCTCGCCTTCCGATGCAACGTGTGCCTTCCTGGATGTCTTGGCGCCCATGGCCGAATACCTCACGCCGTTCTGTCATACTCTGCCCTGCCCCGTGTTTCAACGGGCCCGCGATCCAGAAAGTCCCTGCACCGCCCCCCCCGCCGTTGCCCCTGGGCTCAGCGGGCTCGACCTCGGAAATGGGTGGGCCAGCTGAGGCCACGGCGGCCCTCCTGCCCGGCCCACGTCCGCTCAGGATCGGCCCCCCCGGACCCCTCCCCGGGTGCGCCCTGACCCCTTCTTCGGCACGGATCCAGCCGCGGCGACGAGAAGCCCCCTCTGAGGCCCAAACGACGGAAAAACACCACAGGGGGGGGCTGGCCCTGTCCCGATTGGCCCTTCAGGGTTAGAGTGGTCGTTGCGTGTCTGGTCGTCTCGGGCATGCCTAAGCGAGTTTGGTCAGAAAGTGGGGTCGTGCCTGAAAAAACCGAAAAGAGCGCAAAGCTGGCCAATGACGTCACTCGGGGGACTCTCGATGACATCGCTCGGGCCTGTAGCGTCACGCTGATGGAAAATCAATTTCCAGAACTGCACGTTATGCGTCTCGGTGGGAACTGATATTTATACACTTGAGCATTGTCGATGCTCCAGCTCTCGGTGGCGCACCCCATTAGAGGCGGCTGGGGGGTCTGAACTGGATGGACTTCGCAACAAGTGGTCAAGAAGGGAGCAGGACGGCAATCCGCACAAAATCGGTCCCTGGATCCCCCCCGGGGTTCATCTGGTGCCGTTGATCGCCCCAGCTCGGTGGAGGACGCGTGGTGGCCCGAACCGTCAGCGCGGCAGCAGCAGAAAGCAGGTCGCGGGGGGCAGAGGACGACGACGAAACTGACGGGCTGAGACCGAAGACAGTTGTTTTTGCAAGCCAGCGTTGCCTGCGCCACGTCGCCGCAGCGCTCGAAAAATATTAAACCTGCTCAAATTAGTGCAAGAAGCGAGCGAGGCCTAGCTCGCCCGCCAGCTTCGCAGCCACCCAAGTTATGGCGAGGTCTCCTGCTGGTCCACGTAAAACGTCGCTCCGTTGGACCCCCCAGAAGCCCTCGAAACTGGCGACAGTTTCACAGATCGCACCCTCCCAGGGGATGGCGAGATCTAATTTGAATATGGGTGAGGCGTCACTCCGCTCGACCCCCCCAGCAGCTCGAAAGTGGCGACAGGTTCGCAGATCGCAGCCCCACAGGGATGGCGAGGTCCCATTTGACTCTGGGTAAGACGTCACTCCGCCAGATCCCCCAGCAGCCCTCGAAAGTGACGACATGCGCGCAGATCGCAGCCCCCGAAGGATGGCGAGGTCACATCTGGATCTGGGTAAAACGTCGTTCCGCTGGACCCCCCAGCAGACCTCGAAAGTGGCGACAGGTTCGCAGATCGCAGCCCCCCACGCGAGGTCCAATTTGAATATGGGTAAGACGTCACTCCGCTGGACCCCCCAGCAGCCCCAGAGAAAGGCGACAGGTTCGCAGATCGCAGCTCCCCCAAAGATGTCGAGGTCTAAGTTGAATCTGGGTAAGACGTAACTCCGCTGGACCCCCCAGCGGCCCTCGAAAGTAGCGACAATTCCACAGATCGCAGCCCCCCAGGGATGGCGAGGTCTAATTTGAATATGGGCGAGACGTCACTCCGTTGGACCCCCCAGCAGCCCTCGAAAGTGGCGACAGTTCCGCAGATCCCCCCCAGGGATGGCTAGGTCGAATTTGAATCTAAATAATTCGCCACCCCGCTGGACGCCCCAGCGGTCTTGGAGAGTAGTGACAGGTTCGCGGATCGCAGCCCCCCGGGGATGGCGAGTTCCAATTTGAATGTTGGTAAGACGTCACTCCGCTGGAACCCCCAGCAGCCCTCGAAAGCAGCGACAGTTTCGCAGATCGCAGCCCCCCAGGGATGGCGAGGTCTAATTTGAATATGGGCGAGACGTCACTCCGTTGGACCCCCCAGCAGCCCTCGAAAGTGGCGACAGTTCCGCAGATCCCCCCCAGGGATGGCTAGGTCGAATTTGAATCTAAATAATTCGCCACCCCGCTGGACCCCCCCGCGGTCTTGGGGAGTAGCGACAGGTTCGCGGATCGCAGCCCCCCGGGGATGGCGAGTTCCAATTTGAATGTTGGTAAGACGTCACTCCGCTGGAACCCCCAGCAGCCCTCGAAAGCAGCGACAGTTTCGCAGATCGCAGCCCCCCAGGGATGGCGAGGTCTAATTTGAATATGGGCGAGACGTCACTCCGCTGGACCCCCCAGCAGCCCTCGAAAGTGGCGACGGTTCCGCAGATCCCCCCCAGGGATGGCTAGGTCGAATTTGAATCTAAATAATTCGCCACTGACCCCCCAGCGGTCTTGGAGAGTAGCGACAGGTTCGCGGATCGCAGCCCCCCAGGGATGGCGAGTTCCAATTTGAATGTTGGTAAGACGTCACTCCGCTGGAACCCCCAGCAGCCCTCGAAAGCAGCGACAGTTTCGCAGATCGCAGCCCCCCAGGGATGGCGAGGTCTACATGATTTGAAGATGGCCAAGACGTCACTCCGCTGGACCCCCCAGCAGCCCTCGAAGTGCCGACAGTTCCGCAGATCGCAGCCCCCCCGGGATGGCCAGGTAGGGGGCAAGCTGGCACGCAGGAAGGAGCGAGGTGAGAGGTCGGAGAGAAGGGGAGAGCGGGCGGGAAGGTGTGCGACCGCAGTGCTCTATTCAAAACGAGAAACCAACGCAGGAGGGTTGGGAAAAAACGTTCTCGAACCCCCAGCGGGCTCCAAGACCCCCCAGGGCCTCCGCACTGGTTGCAGCTGTCCTCCGACGCCGCGCACCCCGAACCCTCGGGCGCCTGCGCCAGCGCGCGACCCCACCGCCCAGCGGGTGCCGTCGCCGTCGCCGATCGCCGCCGCGGCCGCCGTCGTCTTCGCCGCCGCCGCCGTCGCCGCCGCCGCCGTCGTCATCGTCAACGGTCGTCCTCGTCCTCGTCCTCATCGTCGTCGTCCTCCTCGTCGTCCTCCTCGTCATCCTCCTGCTCATTCTCCTCCTCCTCCTCCTCCTCCTCCTCCTCGTCCTCGGCCTCGTCCTCGTCCTCCTCGTGTTCCTCTTCGTTATCCTCCTCCACCTCCTCCTCGACCCGCGATGTTCGGACCCCCAGCCTCAAAGCTGCATACTCGTCCTCCTCATTCTTACGCCGCTCGGACGTCAGCAACAAAGCCATAGCGCCGCGCCTGATCCACCTCCTCCTCCCTCTCTCTCTCTCTCTCTCCTCCTCCTCCTCCTACTACTCATCCTACTCCTCCTCATCCTCCTCGTCCTCCTCCTCCTGCTCCTCCTGTTCCTCCTCGTCCTCCTCGTCCTCCTCCTCATCATCCTCGTCCTCGGCCTCGTCCTCCTTGGTTTCCTCTTCGTTCTCCTCCTCCACCTCCTCCTCGATCCGCGATGCTCGGACCTCAGCCTCAAAGCGGCATACTATTCCTCCTCATTCTTACGCCGCTCGGACTTCAGCAACAAAGCCATAGCGCCTGGTCCACCTCCTCCTCCCTCTCTCTCTCTCGCTCTCCCTCTCTCTCTTTCCTCCTCCTCCTCCTCCTCCTCCTCCTCCTCCTCCTCCTCCTCCTCCTCCTCCTCCTCCTCCTCCTCCTCCTCCTCATCTTCACTTTCTCTTGGTCATCCTCGCCGCCCTTCTCCACCTCGTGCTCCTCCTCCGCCTCCTCCGCCTCCTCCTCCTCAATATCATACTCCTCATCCTCCTCCTCTTCCTCCTCCTCATCCGCATGCTCCCTACCTGGCGTCCTACTATCCGCATCGTCATCCTCCTCCTCATCCTGCGCCTCGTCCTCCTCCTCCTCCTCCTCCTACTCCTCCTACTCCTCCTACTCTCCCCCACCTCCTCCTCCCTCTCCTCCTCATCATACTCCCCCCTCATCCCCCTCCACCAACTCCTCCTCCTCCTCATCAGTCTCCCTCTCCGCCTCCGCATCATCCTCCTCATCATCGTGATCCGCATCCTCATCCTGATCCTCATCCTCAGAATCACCATCCTCAGCCATCATCAGCATAATCACAATGATCAGCAAAAACATCACTATCAGCATCATCATCATCATCATCATCATCATCATCATCATCATCATCATCATCATCATCATCATCATCATCAGCATCATCATCATCATCATCATCATCATCATCATCATCATCATCATCATCATCATCACCACTATTATCATCATCATCAGCAGCAGCATCACCAGCATCATCACCATCATCATCATCATCATCATCATCATCATCATCATCAGCATCATCATCATCATCATCAGCATCATCATCAGCAGCAGTAGCAACATCATCATCACCACCATCAGCATCATCATCGTCATCATCATCAGCAGCATCATCAGCATCATCAGCATCATCATCAGCATCATCAGCAGCATCATCGTCATCATCATCGTCATTTGCAACGACAACATCGTCACCGATATCATCCCCATCGGCGTCAATCACAAATACAGCATCACCATAATGCATCAGCATCATCGTCCTCATCACCAATGCCAGAATCAGAATCATCATCATCATCAGCAGCATCATCACCATCGTCGTCGTCATCATGGTCATCACAATCAGCATCATCGTCAGCAGCATCACCAGCATCATCACCATCATCATCCCACCATCGTCATCACCCATCAGAATCATCGTGATTGCCGTCAGCAGCAACACCCTCACTACAACAATCATTAGCAGCAGCGATCTCATCATACTCAGCCTCGTCCGCATCATCGTCAGTATCCTCAGCATCATCAGCAAAAGCAGCATCATCATCAGCATCAGCATCATCATCCGAATCATCAACATCATCATCATCAGCATCATCATGATCATCATCATCATCATCATCCTCATCAGCATCATCATCATCAGCATCCTCGCCAGCATCATCATAAGCATGATCATCAGCATCGTCATCATCGTCGACATCAGCATCATCATCAGCATCATCATCAGCATCCATCATTATCAGCATCATCACCATCGCCGTCATCGCATTCACAATCAGCATCGTCATCGCCATTGTCATCGTAATCGTTATAGTTATCATCATCATCCTCATCATCAGCAGCAGCACATGTATCAGCAGCAGCGACATCGTCACAGCCATCACGAAAAACAGCAACATAGTCATACGAATCGTCATCGCCGTCACTATCAAAATCATCAGAATCAGCTTCATCAGCAGCAGAAGCGTCATCATCAGCCATCACCGTAAATCATCCTCATCAGCATCCTCGACATCAGCGTCATCATCATCACCGTCGTCGTCGTCGCCATCTTCATCTTCATCAAGATCGACAACATCGTCATCATCGTCAGCATCATCACAGTCAGCATCATCAGCAACATCATCATCATCATCATCATCATCATCATCATCATCATCAGCATCGTCCTCATCATCGTCCCCATCAGAATCATCATCACCATCATCATCATCATGTTCAGCATCAACATCATCAGCATCATCATAATCATTATCATCAGCATCATCCTCATCCTCATCATCATCATCCTCATCCTCATCCTCATCATTTTGAGCCGCAGCATCATGATCCTCATCCTCATCATCAGCAGCAGCATCATCAGAAATATCAGCATCAGCAGCAGCATCATCCTCGTCATCAGAATCATCATCATCATCATCATCATCAACACCATCATCCAGTATTGTCATCATCATCCTCATCATTGTCATCCTCATCCGCACCATCAGACATCATAATCAGCAGAAGCATCATCATCAACATCATCATCAGCAGTATCATCATCACCACCACCACCACAACCATCATCATCACCATCATCATCATCGTCGGCAGCAGCATCATCACCATCGTCGTCATCATCAGCAGTAGCATCATCATCGTCAACATCATCATCATCATCATCATCAGTATCATCATCGTCATCATCATCATCATCATCATCCCCACCATCGTCATCACCCAGCAGAATCATCAGCATCATCATCGTCATCCTCGTCATCCTCGGCAACAGCAGCATCATCATCACCATCATCAGCATCATCATCATCATAATCTGCATCATCATCATCATCATTACCAGTAGCAGTATCATCGTCATTATCGGGTGCAACAGTAGCATCATAATTACCATCATCATTAGCAGCATCAGCAGCATCATCATCCATCATCGTCATCATCATCCATCAGCGTCCTCCCCGTCCTAGTCCTCCTCCTCCTCCTTCTCCTCTGCGACCTTTGCGATCAAAGCGGGTCCCCTGGTAGCAGCCGGCGAACTGGGCAACCCCGCCCCGGAGGACCATCGCCAGGGAGAGGGGGGGAAAAGCAGCTCGTAGAGAATCACTACTAAGTTAGGGCAAGAGATAAGAACGCCAACACGACGGGACGACGAAGGTACTGTGGCCACCGTACTCTCCTCCTGCTCCTCCTACTCCTCCTCCTCCTCCTCCTCCTCCTCCTCCTCCTCCTTCTCCTCCTTCGCAGACGTGGCTAGTTCGAGCATCGTGGAGTCCCCCTCCCAGCAGCCGTGATGGCCCGCTGACTTCCATGGCACGCTCCGCAGGGGCCCGCCAGCTTGGGCCTGCGCCCCCGAATCTTCTGCCCACAGAAGGCAGGCATGCACCACCACGACCACCGTCCCTGACCGGGACCTTCCGAGGCGGAAGGCTGTGCGCACCATCCCTCGGCCCAGGGCGGCCCCGGCTGGGGACTGCGGTTGTACAGCTGACCCTTCCGAACCCTGGACGTCGCGAAGAAAAACACGAGGGGAATTTTTGGAGAGCGATTTCGCTGCTGGGAGGCCGTCTTCTGGACCACCGCGAGGCGACCCGCCCACGCAAAGCCTCTCCTGGAGATCGGCACGAGAGCTCCTTGGCACCGGTCTCGAGCAAATCACTACGTCGGAGGGCCCGTGTAATTACCCCCCTCTCCCACGACCTTCCCCCGCTCCCTCGCCCTTCCTTCTCCACCCCGAACCCCCCCGCCCCTTATACCGCCCCACTCGCGAGGTCCCAAGTGCGAGCGGCGGGAATAGCGGCTGGTGTCAGAGATGGCGGCAACCAGGTCGGGGGCGGCGGTGGCAGTGGCGGCGACGAAAGATTATGACGGCGCCAGACTGCCTTGCTGCCCTCTCTTGCACTCGCTTTGCTGCCCTGTCTCCTTTCACCACCTCTTCTGCCCTTCTAGCCGGGGGGGGCTCGACAACAAACCAGCGTCACCAAGGTGCTAACCTGAGCCCCTGGCCGCCATGGGCCTCCCACAGTAGGTTCCAAGCAGATGGTGTCGGAGGATCGCGCCGCATCACCGATACATCGCCGATGCATCGGCAACGTGGGCGATGCATTGGCGACGTCTGCGTGGAATACATCGGGCTCCATGTGGAGCCGCATCGCCGATTAATGGGCGATGTGGCGAGATACTCCGACCCCATCTACTCTGGCGAGGATGGACGGAGCAAGGAGGGAGGAGGGACGAAGGGGAAGCGGGAGGATGGGAAGGAGATGGAGGGAGGAGCGGAAGAAGCTTGCTGCTTGAAGGGGCATTGAAATGGCGGTGCCGCTCCCCGAGGAGATTGTTTTTAAGATTATGTCGGGTAACGGTCGTTATCCGAAGGTGGTCGGACCCCGGGTGATAATGACGCTTGGGCGGGCGGGACGGGGTACGCCGGGACGGGGGTGCGCTGCGACCACCAGTGTATGCGCGCGAGCACTAGCAAGTTGGGGGGTGGGGGGGAGGGGGGCAGGCCGCCCCCCCCCCCGGCGTACGGTCGCTACCATTACCCGGGGAGCTGGGGGGGTGAGACTGGCCTGGGTAGCGACCGTTCAGCGCCAGAGCTGGGCAGGGCGCTGGGCACACCCTGGCCAGGATTCTGGTGCGCGCCTGGGCACGGCCACGGGAGGTGCTGCTCCGGGAGGTACGAGAGGGCCAAGTGCGCGGGGAGGCGCAACGGTGTCGGCGGGCTCCTTCTGCTCTGGAGCCAGAGCCGCCCGCACCACGCGTGACGCGCTGCATGCTCTGGGCGCAGAGCTTTCTGAGGAAAATCCTGGAGGCCTCGCGCGGCAACTGGAAACCCAATGTACGCCAGATCCGCGTCGGGTTTCCCGTCGGATTACGTCAGATTCAGGTCTGATTCGCGTCAGACTCACGTCAGATTCACGCGGAGCATCGCCACACGGACGTCGACACGTATCTTACGGAGCGAACGTCTGGACTAGATGATACGACTGCTACGCGCCGCGCGAGGCCTCCAGGTTTCCCCTCATAAAGATCACTCATCTGCCCTACTCCGCGGCTTTTCACATTTTATCACCCGCCTCAGTGCGCATTCAGCCCTGCCGCGTCCCCGCTGTTGCTGTACGACGCCTCCTGTCTTGAAGTCGCCTCTAATGAAAGAAGGCTCCTTATGATCTGGCGGGAAAGGATAAGAAGCAACTCCTGGGAGATCTTCAACAAAAAACAAAGCTGCTGAGCCAGATTAAGGCACCATGAAGCCAGATAGGCAAATACTTATGAAGCCAAGAAGCCCAGGATGAAGCATGATAAAGCGGGCACAAGCCGGATCAATGGGGACTATGCGGAATTAGGTCGGTTTAAGATCACGCATATATCCTCCCAAGAGTTGCATCATAAGAAGGGCAGCGTGGTGGTATGGAACACACGCCCCATCCCCCGGCGTTGCAGCGGGGGCGCGCGCCATCGCGAATCCGGGGCAGGAGCCGCAGTAGTCGAACGGGTTTGGGGCCGCCAGGCAGCAGAACCCCGCCGGCCTGGAGGGCAGCCCGCACCCAGAAGAAGCGGGGAGACGGGAGGGGGAAGGGCTGGGGAGGAGAGGGGGGAAGGGAGGCGAGGGGAAGGGATCAAGGGAAGGGGACGTGAGGTGAGGTGGAGGAGGAGGAGGAGGAGGATCAGTGTAAACCCAATGCGCACCAACGATGTTGACACAAAAACTCCGTCCAAGTTCTCTCTTCAGAGGTCCCTGCAAGAATTTGTTCTCACTGCGGGAAAAGCACTAGTGCTTGGACTTCAGCGCCGTGAATCAGCGTGGCTGTTGCGCCCTGACAATCCAGAACCGTGCCATTACACCGATCCTGGGACTTCAACACCGCGAATCATCAAAGTGACAGTTGCGCCCTGGCAATCCTAAACCGCACCAAAATACCATTCCTTGGACTTCGACCATACGAATCCTTGAAACGGCTGCTCTATTTCAAGACAACTGTGCGCAGCGCATAGGCCAGAACAACATTTTGAAAAGGAGCAACGATCCGCCCGTCAAGCTGTTGCAAACGGCTACGAACGTGTACAACACATGTGCGCGTCGCAAAAGCAAAAACCACATCTTGAAAACCACTTGTCGTCGATTATCGAAGCTGTCGCAAACTTTCAAGATGCATGTGCGCGGCGCTAAGGCGAGACCCACATTTTGAAAAAGACCCGCCCTCCATCCGCGAAACTGCTGAAACTCCTAATACGAATCTGCGCGGCGCTCAAGGGAGAGCCACACTGTGAAAACCACCGGCCCTCCATCCGTGAAGCTTTGCACATGTCAAACTCTAGGATCATAAATGGTGGGGAATTATCAAGCGAAACGCCTGGCCCGCCCTACAGATATGCTTTGTGGTGCGACAGGAAAATGATGTCGAAACATAGAGGCGGCAAGGAAGAAATGAGATAGGAGGAGGAGAAAAAGGCGCCTGAGGGAAACGACCTGAAATTCTCAATTCTCGGACCCTCGGAACCGTCCCTGGGTCCCCACAGCGTCAAAAAACGACTCATGATCGAAAGCTGGTCCCGGGGAGAGAGACGGAGTGACGGAGCGAAGGGGGGGGAGGCATTTTGGTGACGTTCGCTTCGCGGGGTGACTCGGGAAAGGGGCAAACGGACAGGCCAGACTCAGTCAGAAGCACTGCCAAAGTCCACTCGAGTCCACTCGGCCCAAACAAGCCCTACCCCAAAGAAAAAAGGAGAAGGAGGAAGGATGACGGGGGCCCCGACTCTCGGGGTCTGCCAACTCGCGGTGAAAGCTGTACTGCTGACTCGAAACTTCTGCCCATTTTTCCAAGAACTCCCCCGTTAGTTTCCTCGCCCCCCACCGAAATTAGAGAAGCCCCCCAAACGCTAACCCAGGGAACGGAACAGGGAGGAGGGATGGCGCCTCGTCGTCGTCGTCGTCGTCGCCGCTGTCGCCATCGCCGTCGCCGTCGCCGTCGTCGTCGTCGGCGTCGACGTCGCCGTCGTCGTCGTTGTCGTCGGCGTCGGCGGCGGCGGCGTCGGCGTCGGCGTCGGCGTCGCCGTCGGCGTCGGCGTCGGCGTCGCCGTCGCCGTCGTCGGCGGCGGCGGCGTCGGCGGCGTCGGCGTGGGCGTCGGCGTCGGCGGCGGCGTCGGCGTCGGCGTCGGCGTCGGCGTCGGCGTCGGCGTCGTCGTGTTCGTCGTCGTCGTCGTCGTCGTCGTCCGGACGGGAAGGGCGAAGAGGGAACTGCAGGAGCGCACTGCTCTCCCCGACGTCTGCCAGCTCCCTCCTCCAGCTTATCGGCCTCGCCCCTCTCCGACCCCACCGATGGAGGACTCCCGCTGTGCGCCGCCAGGGGGGCCTGCCCCCCGCGAGGCCTGGAGAGAGGGGGGTGGACGAGACCGGCCGATGAACGCGCGACACCATGGAACTGAGGGGCAACGATAAGGGCGGGGGCTGGCACGGGGGGGAGAGGCGACATCGACCTGGAATCGGCGACACATCGCCGATTGATCGGCGATAACCTCCCCCAGCGAATCCGCACGTTCCTGGGCGGTCCAGCGCCAGCCCGAGAAAGCTGCGCAGACCCCCGAGGGCCGTTACAGTCAGGCTGCTATCGGGCCCCTATCGGCGATCAATGGGCGATTGGGGGTCGATGCGCCCTCCCCTGCGCCTATCCCCCCAATCGTTGCCCCTGAGGAACCCCGGCGACGAGGCGCACGAGTCCAGCGCGGCACCGCCCCCGGGCGCGGCCCTGGCCCGGGGTGGCCAGGCCTCAGATTCCGCCAAATCGGAAGCCAGAGGAAGTGGTTCCCAGAGCACCCATCACGAGACCCAGACGGCTCAAGGGGCTCCACGGCGGCGCCAACAGAGAGAACCCTGGGCCACGGTCTGCCGAAATTGGAAGCAACTTAGACCGCAGGGCTTAAAGGGTGAGAGGTCGCAGAAAAGGGGAGTGCGCTCAAACCGTTTTTGGCTCGGAGCGCGCCCCGAACTCCCTCCCGCACGGGATAGGGGGCCCCAATCGGGGTGCCACAGCCATGATGGTCGCCGCCTGGCGCGCGGCCCCGGTATTGGCCGCCGCGCTGCGCTGGGGCGCGGGCGCGGCCGCCGCCGCCGAGCTGCCCACACCGCTGGGCCCCAGCGACAGACGCCCCGCCGCCGCCCGCCGCCGCCGCGCGGGCCGCCGCCGGACCTCCGGCGCGCTCCGCGCCCGCAGCGCCCTCCCTGGACGCCGCGCCTCTTTGCGTGGGAGACCGAGACCACGGAGAGGGACTACGCGCATATGGCGTGGATCATCTAGCCGCAGCGGGCCTCGTCAGGCTCGACGACGCGGCATCTCTGGCGGCAGCGCCCGAAAAGCTTGCCAGGCCGACGGCTGCCGAACTCGCTCGGGGAGCCGAATACTCGACGGCTACCAGCGAGGAAGTGGAACTGCCTCTGGAGGCGTGGTACTTGTGGGAGGCAAACGAGGACGCGAAAGGCGTGGCCGCTGGCATGGCCGGAGACGCGACATCGCTGCACGTTGGCCACCGCATCACGAAAGCGGACCAGCCCAGAGCGCGCGACGCCGAGGCAGGCCGCACCAGGGGAGGACAGGGGCAAACCTCGGGGCGGGCCCGAGGGGCGGGGGAGCACAACGGCCTCTGCTCGCGCCCGCCAAAGGGGGGAGGGACAAGGCAGCAGGGCCGACTCGACCTGTCTTGTGTTTTCTGTGCTGCGCCGTTTCTAGGAGCCAGAAAAACACACAAAGGAATTTCACACAAAGGGCTCTGGCACCACCGGCGGTGCAACGCATGTGCACACTGGCTCCCCAGCGATCCGAACCAGGGTTGATGCACGGCCGCGCTCTAGGATGCAGTTGACATGTATGGTGTGACAAGGCTGTCGGCGGCGACAACATCCCAATATCCGCTACCAACAAACATTCCATGGTGGTTTGGCACAGCCAAACCACCGTGCAACGTCAGTTTGTTCATCAATGACAGCAGCGCGCGTCGCGGCAGCAAAACGCAGTAGCGAGTAGCGCGCGCAGGCATCCAGGGCCGGCGATGTGGCTGGCCAGCTGCCACCGCGATTTCGGCGGAAGAGTCGAAATCCACGCAGGATCGTTTTGGGCGCGGTATCTGGCGCAGCTGCATCGCACTGCCAGGCGCCGCGGCCTTGCGATTGTAGCGCCAGGCCCCGTGCGTTCCTCGAGGCGGGAAAGAAAGCTCTACACAAAGGAATCGCGCGTGCTCTTGTGGGGGCGGCGAACACGATCGCACACAAAGGAAATCATTGTGTGTGCCCCCCGCGTTGGCACCGCAACCAGACCGCACACAAAGGAATTACACGAGACTTCGTGGCACACAAAAGAATTACAGCAACGCCCTTTGGGTTGCGCTTTTCGCGCGCAGTGACAGCTCCGAGCTGGAAAGGAAAGGAGGGCGGGACAAGGCACAGCAGGGGAAGAGGAAAAAGAAGAGGAGGGCGAGAAAGAAGCGAAGGAAGCAACGGAAGGAAGCCAGGATGCGCGCAAGCGGAGCTAACATTGCGCGCCGAGACAGTTGTTCGTTCGTTCGGTTGGCCGTGCGGCAGATTAATAGAAAAAAAACTGTTTGCTGCCTATCGAAGGAACTTATTGGGAATGAGACGCGCGTTCTCTTCCCAACCCTCTTTCCCACGCCCCGCTGCGAGCGCGCGACGATTTGTTCTGGCCCGCGGGCAGAGGACTGCCAATGGCTGGCGAACGGCCTTTCCACCCGTCACGCGTTCCGCACACATGCGACCAGCTCAACGCACTTGCCACGCAAACCGCCAGCTCCAAAGATCAACGCAACACCGATCCCCGCATCCGTGCCAGGCACCCTCTCAACGACGCCCCCTTCTGGCGTAAACCAATAGAACCCTTTGTGTTTATATGTTTTTTCCTGAAGCCCCAAGATGCCAACTCCCAAGACCTCTCCTGGGTGCGTTCGGACCAGAATCTCGGGGGGAATCCAGCCGTGGCGACGAGGGCCCTCCAGGACGAGCAGCGGTATCGGTACCTCCCCCCCCCTCTGGCGAGATCACGCCTGGCAGCTTCTGGCCCGAAAGCGCGCACGAACGAAACCCGCGGGCTGCAGATTCGAGAATTCGCGCCGGCATGGCGGCCACGGCCTCGAGCGCCGCGCCCGGCTGGCGGCGGTGGCGCCCAGGCCCCCTGCAGCCCCTGGGCCCGCGACTGACGGAACAAGTAGGCAGCAACAACTTCCCAAACATGCTCGCGTCGTGAAAAAACTGGGCGGGAGGTTGTTCATAAGTTTGGGCCTCTACGGCCCTTACCTGGCCCCGAACCGTCAAAAAAGACTCGGGATGAAAAGCCAGTCCTGGGGAAAGGGTCGGGACTTCCAGGGACCCCAGTATTGAACAAGTCAGGACGTCGCATGTCTGGGTTGCCATCTTTCGGACGTCCAGTACTCGTGCATTACTCGGTTTCGTTCGTGATTTTCTCCTGATGATCCAGGATGGCCCAAGAGGGCTGCTCAGATGTTCTGGCGCTGTCCTCGCCCAGGAAAGCACGTCCGAGCGATGCCGAAACAACATGAGCTTTCGGAGGCCCGCGCGGATGGCGAGCATGCACTGACCATCGGCACCAGCGCCGATGGCCCCACCGGGCGACGAGGCGCCACCGACCCCTGCTGTGGGGCACGGACCCGCGAAACCCGCGGGTCTGTCGCGGCCGCGGGATGACGCCGCGCGCGGGGCGCGACGTGCCGCCCGCCGCGGGCCTGCGTTGAAACGGAAAGGCCCAGGGCCGGTGCATAGAGTCAAGATTGACGGCAGGGACGCAAGATCCTTGGACGCTCAAATAGTTGGAGTGTGTAAGCGGCGCACGGCAAAAAATCCCAAGGACGCAAGGGTACCCTAAGCGATCCCCCGTCCTTGTCGAACGGGCGCCGGGACCAAAAGCAATCACAACGCAAGGAGAGGCTGGCCAGCTGGCCAGCGAAAACCGTTGAGGACAGACCCCGAACGGGCAAGGACGGAAGGGCACCCTGGGAAAATGACTGGTCCTTATCATCCACATTCTCACCGTGCGCCCTCCTGGCCTGGCCAGGAAGGCACCTGCGCCGATCCTGGGCCCAGACGTGGCCAGCGCAGGCACAGTGCAGCGACCTCGGCGCGTCGCCGAGTTCGCGCCGGATCCTGCTAGTGTCCCACAGGAATGCGAAAAGCGGGCCGTCCTCACGACGGCGGTGCGCTGGGCGGGCGCCAAGGGCGAAGAAACAGAGGCGGCACATGCAGCGCAGCCCCACACAGGAGCCTGATCCGAGACCGGCCGCGGCGAAGAGAGGCCTCCCAGGGCCCACTACTGGCGGAAACGAACCACCAACAACCTCGGTCCTCGAGCCTCGCTCCCAAAACATCCACCTTCCGAGGTCGACAATCGCCCTGTAGGAAACGGGTCCTGGACGGACCGGGTCCTGGACCCCGTGACCGCTCCCCTAGACCAAATTTCCATCCTGAGTCGTAGTCGTTGTCTGACGCTCTCGGGAAATCCCGAGAGCCCGACAAAAGCAACCAACAACGCCCGTTTCCTTTGGACCCAATCCTCCTCCTCCTCCTCCTCCTCCTCCTCCTCCTCCTCCTCCTCCTCCTCCCCCTCCTCCTCCTCCTCCTCCTCCTCCTCCTCCTCCTCCTCTTCCTCCCCCTCCTCTTCCTCCTCCAGCTGAAAGAAAGGGAGAGGACAGAGGCGGGTCAGCAAGCAACATCAGGGGGCGAGGCAGTCCTGAAGCTGGCGAGAGCAGCTGGGAGGGAAAAAGGGAGAGGAGGGAGAAGGGAGGAGAGAGCCGGAAGGAACCGGGACGCGGAGGCGACGGGCTCGCGGCGGGGAGGTGTGCGCCACCAGACCCCCCCTTAGGCGCGCGCGCGCGACCGCCGGCGGCACGGAACGGGACTGCTGCTCCTCCTCCTCCTGCCCCGCGCGGGGGCCTGGTCGGAGCGGGTGTGGGCGCCGCGGTCGGCTCCACCGTGGGCTCCGCGGTGGGCGTGCCAGTGGGAGCGGCGGTCGGCTCGGGCGTAGGCTCTGAGGTGGGCGCCTGCCCGCGTCCATGCCCCTCGACTCGGCGACGGAGGCCGCCGCCCAGGCAGCGGCCGCCGCGGCGACAGCGCGACAGCGGCGGCAGCAGCGCGCGGTCGGCGGTCGGCGACCGCCGAACGGCAGCGGCGGCGGCAGCAGCAGCGGCAAGCGGCGGCCGCGGCGGCGGCGGCGCACGGGGAGTTCAGAAAAGTGAGCGCCTGCCCAGATCCTGGCCCCTCGGTCCCGCGAAGGGGCGAAGGGGCATCGGCATCCGAACACGTAGGCGACGAACAAAAACGGACAGAATAACCACCCTCAAAATAAGCACCCCGACAAGCGAAGTATTTTTCGCAAGCGCGCCCAAATCCTTTCGCGTGTCGTGGGGCCCACGGGGATACTCAGCCTTCGGCCAGCGGATTGTCATATGTCGAAATACGCGCGCGGAAAGGAGTTATCCAACATGCGTCTGGCACGTGTGCCTTTTGGGTACGTCCTCTCAAGCGAGCAGACCACCAGGGGGGATACCAACATGCAGTCGGCGGATTGTTGACGTGTCAAAATGCGTGCGCGGAAGATGTGTCAATGAGTCTGGCACGTGCGCGCTTGGTGCGTCTTCTCACGCGTGCAGGCCCCCAGGGGGATACCCAGCATGCGGTCGGGGGGGTCCCACATGTGAAAATGCGCGCGCGGGATGAAGCATCCAATTGAAAGTTTGTTGTGTTTGGTGCGCCTACGCGCTTCCCTTCAGCCCCACTTTTACTTGTCCCTGCCCTGTGCCCCCCGCAGCCATATCCTGCACGGGCTGGCTGTCCCCCGTCTTTCTCCCGTCTCCCAGATCATAATCTAGATTCCAAACCACATCCCGTTGCATACCCTGCCTCACGCTTTCCTGCGTAGTGCGAGGCTCGCGTTGCAGGCCAGGGGACTCAGACGGTGAGCGCTGACCTCGTGAGGAAAGTGTGCTCGACATCTTGATCGATCCGCTGGGTTTTCAGTGATGCGGAGCCAATGACGACCCACCGGCTCCCAGGCTGAAATGCCTGGAGATGATGATGGTGATGGTGGCCTGGGCGACGAAGGCAACGGCTCGGAGGGCAGATATCGAGAGCCGCCACCAGGCTATGATGGACACCAGCCAGAGGTGAGCTGCAAGCAGTGGGAGAAGGAGGTCGTGCTGTGGCAAGGCACGACGGACACTCCACGCTCGAAGTGGGGCGCAAAGTTGGCCAGACGCTTGACGGGCACTGCGAAGGAGGCGATCGCGGAAATGGAGGTGGGCGACATCGTCGGAGAGAGCGGTCTGACCAACATCGCTGCAGTACTCGACGAGGCGCTGGCACCGTACCTGGAACAGACGATGCCGAGGGCCTTCGAGAAGGCAGCGCACACGTCTGCGCGCGAGAAGGGGCAGACCATGCTTGAATACACGCTGGCGGCGGTCACGAGATTCAACGAGCTGAAAAGAGGTGGCGTCCAGCTGCCATCTGAGGCGAGAGGCTACATCATGATGCGGTATGCTAAGCTGGGCGACAAGGGAGAGGGCATGGCCAAGACGTGGACGGCTGGGAGTTTCGCGAAGGCCGAGGTGATCAAGGCGCTGAGGCGTATCGACAAGGTAATGACCGGCAAGCACGACCGCCAATTCTACGGTGATGACCAGGACGAGCAGGCCGGCAAGGAGGGCTCCCACTATCCGACCGTGGAGAACGATGACGTCGACGACGACCCGGAGCACGCATACGTCATGGTCCCTCCGCGGCCACGTCGGAGAACCCATGTCCCTTCCCACGCCTGCCCAGTTGTTCTCGAAGATCATCGTAGTGGGCGCTCAGAAGCTCAGCACCTCGACATTCATCACTCGTCGCAAGTCTCACCTGCTCCAGGCTGCACTGCCGCAGCTCACCCTTGTGCTTCACCCAGACAGACCCGCCCTTCACCACGGGCACAACACACGGGCCAATCCACCCCTCCTTCTTGTAGTCTGGACTCCACCGATCACCGCTGTCCTTAGTGAACTTCCTCCACACTCCGACCCAATCTCCTGGTTGTACATCTGCACTCGAGGACGTGCACCACTCGCCAGAGATCGCTCGATAGAACTGTGGCTGTCCACTTCCATCATCGCTCGGTGGGCTGCCAATCTCAGTCGCTGGGCTCGTTGCAAGTCGGTATCAGGGTCCTGCGTGAATACTCTGGCGCCCATATAGTCGCCCGGAAGCAAGCTGCCTGGAAGTCGCGGAAGCTGCCCCAGCACTCGTTGAACCGAGGAACCCCCCGAGCGGTTGATGAATCGGTTCTTCGCAGCCTCACATGCTAAGATTAGCGCCTCTGCCTCCTTCCTCGTCCCTGGCGGCTCCAGCTCACACGCCTTCGCGTAGATCGCCTTGAAGTGGCCTCCTGCCCGCTCATTATTTGCGTTCATCCACGGGGCCCGTGCATCGAAAGTAGACACTGGACATCCCTCCTCTGTCGCCCTGTCCGCGAACGTGCCCATGAACTCTTTCCCCTCATCCACCACCAGGATCTCCGCGGGCCCGAACACACACAGCCAACATCGGCAGAACGCAAGTCATACATTCCAAGGAGCCTTCTTGCCCTTTGGAATCCGCTGGAACATGGAGCAGTGCGTTCCCAAGTCCGTGACGTTAAGACACGGGACACTTTCCTTGCTCCCCTCCTTGATGAAGATCAGGGCGACGCCCACCACGTGGTTCATGCGGTAGGACTTCGGTATCGCCCCGACCTGTTCTAGGCTTCGGCCTCAGCCGCGCCTTGCACACATCGCACTCGAACTTTGTCTTCGCCCATCGCACCAGATGAAGACATACACGACCCAAACGTAGAGCTCGACAGAAACAGACCATCCCAGGAGGATGCGCCCACTTCTCATGCAGTTAACGGATGAGCTTCTGATCAGCGTCGGTGGGCTCCACGACGTCTTCCGACTCCTGCTCAGCAAAGGGTTTCTCCTCCGGCGCCTCCACGTATTATTGTTCCTCGTCCCTTTCTTCTGGGTAAGTCTCATCGCAACGCGATCCTTGAGCTCGGTCCTCACGCAGTTGTTGACGCAAGCCCTTGAGACTGGCCCTCGGGAAAAGCTCCGGGTACCTTTCTGCGAAGTGCGCTCTGCCATTGAGGGGGATTTCGCGTTCACGATTCCCCTTGCATCTCTTCTCGAGCTCAGCCGCAATGAAGGGAGAGTTCGTGATGAAAGCGGTCGGCCTCTTCCAACTCTTTCCCTCGGGGCTCCGCAGGCCGAAACGGCACTGATCCGCGTGGGCCACTTTAACTCCTTCCAGCTTCGTCAACGCCTGGACCTCTGGCTCCTGGAAGCTCTTCGCGGTGCGCGGGTGCTCGACAAGAAAGTATTTCCTTGCAGCATGCCTCTCGGCCAACACGTTCAGTATAACATTGTGGAGTAAGCCAGAACTGAGATATGCCTGCACCTTCTTCGTATCCATGCGGCTGTAGTTCCACTCCAGCAACGCACAGAAAAGACCGCATGGCGGAGAACCCACCGTGAGATCCGGATCGCGCGCACAAACATCCGCCAGGCATTCAGCACGATCTTGAGCTCGGTCAAAGTTCCAGCCCATTTTGAGATCATAGGCCGCGACCGCTCCCCAGCCTCTCTTCTCCAGCTCCTCCGTGACCCGAGGCGCAGAGTGAATTTCGGCGACCTTGATATGCTGCCCCCGGCGTATCTCTGCTAGCACGTGGTGGGGCACGTCTTTCAGCTCTTCGCCCAAGAACCTGAAGTTATCCTCGACCTCCCAGTTGACCTAGATCATTTCGGCACCCAGGCTCTCGGGCACCTCCGGGAGCTCCTCCTCGAACTCTTGATCCTTCAACCTCCACCATCGCCGTCCGACGACGTAGACTCGATCGCGTTGGAGCTTCTTCGCCGTCTTGAGCATCTTCTCCGTGGTGATGTGGACAACGCCGTCGCCACCGTACTCCGGCTCCTTCTCCGAACCCAGCTGGTTCCCCGACAAGCCTGACGGGCGCAATGTCTCCGAGCCCTGATCACCAGCCGCAGTCCTCATTTTCCATCAGGTTCCCGCCCCGCTTGCGTTACGCAACCGGGGCGGGGACCCACTTCCGGCCCGCCGGCGGTGCACCTGATCCCTCCGGACTCGGGGCTGCTTGCGCCGACAAGCGTGAGGGCGCTGGCTTCGGCGCTGCCCTCCGCAACGTGAGCCTCTGGATGGGGCTCCCCGAAGACCTCCTCCATCGGCTCCTCCTTCAGCCGCAACAGAGCCCTTGCCTTGTGCGGCGGCATTAGCAGGTGATCCTTCGGACCGTTCTCCCATCGGCCTCCGCACTGCACGCGCGTCATCGCCGCCTTCACGCCGCTCATGCCCTTGATCTTCTCGACCGGATGAGGGCGCTCCTTCACCCTCATCTCGAACTCGCCGTTCGCCTCCTTCAACGGGTAGCTCAATATCCACTTCCAGTGGCGCCGACTTGCCGGAAGAATCTCCCACTCGTGGAACGCACATTTCTTGTCTCTGCACTTGTGGTAGTAGCTGCCGAACATCTCGTCCTCTGGATCCGTGACCACGTACCTCCTCGCCTTCAGGTGCCGCACTGAGCCGGTCCTCGTCGTGCTCGCCGTGTCCGCGCACCTGCAGTAGACAGTTTCCACTCTGGGTAGTACGCATCGGCTTAGGTGACCGTGTCCCGTCCTGGAGAACTCAAAGTCGCCCCCCGCCTCGTCGGGGAGCGCCTCCGGAGCCACGACGTCAGCAAGTCCTTCTCGTCCGCGCTGCCCCACCCGAAGCGCACGCCCGAGCGCAATGGGTAGAAGAGCCCCATAAGCGGCCGCACCGACGCCAGCAGCACGTAGATTGACGCCAGACGGGCCCATGCCTGCCTCGCAGGAGTTTGAGCTCGCGCGAGAGACTCCTGCACTTCGCGTAGATATGGAATCACTGGATGCATAGCCCGAAGGAGCTCGAATCACACCTTCTTGACTCGCATGGCTACCGATCTGGAAGTCCGACTGCTGATACGGGG